TGAGATGGCAAAAAGTAGTCATATATATTCAAAATGTTGGCCTGTAAGCCAGTAAGGCCTGAAAATATTTACCAATATGTCAAAATGCTTCTAGCTGAAAACCATTTCTAAACCATTCGCTGTTTGCAAGTTTAATGGCTTAAGGCTTATGGGCTCATGAATCACTAGCTTTCTTAGCAGCAGCATTTGAATTGTTGATACCTTAGCCTTGAAATAGATGTGAAGGTACCACAGCCTTTACAAGCTGTTATCGAAAGACATACTTTAAAAGCTCCCACAGAAGACTGAATGCAATAGAAGTAGCTGAGCAGGATGAAAGTAACTGAACCAACTTAGTTAAAGTCATTGTTCATGTCCGTGTTCCATTTTAGTGATTATCCTCTAGTTGGACAATGAATCATATTAAAGGAAGCTTTGATACTTACAGTTTGTCTGATAAAAAATCCAGATGACTTTAGAAGCAATGATGAGTATTTGGGAAACTATTAGTCTTATTTCAAATTACTGAATTCAACTATCAGAAAAAAAAAAAAAAAAAAAAAAAGATTTTACCACTCTTACAATCCCAAGATTTCAGTTGAGAAGATGTATGAACATTCATGGCAAAAAAATTGCTACAACAGATACATGTGGAATGAGTATCTCTAAGGTCAAGTAGGTTATGCCAGTAAATGGCAAACAGTACATTACAGAACTGTAAAATGAAATGTTAAATGTACACTATATTACAGAGATAAGAGGGATGGAACAGACAAATAAAAAAGCAAAACCAACTGGAAGAAAAAAAGAAATCTCAGTTGTGAATAAAAAAATAATAATTCCATATACGGTCTTCTAAAATATGCCACCATCAATTGATTTATCTAGGTCTTGCAAGGGGATCTATACTGTGTAGTGTAAAATTATAAAATATATGTTTTGTCTACAATCCCTAAGATAAATGAATGAACACATAAATATGGTGAGTAAATTCTGTTTCAGTTTTAACCAAAGAGATTCCAAAAATCCATTAAAATAAAACAAATAAATAAAGAAACAAATAAAATAGAATGCTTCTAGGTTGTTTATCTGTGAATAGCCTAAAAGGTATGGAAATTCACAGCTTCCCATTTTTTCTGAGTAACTGATCCCATCTATACATGCATTCATCCACCATATCAATCCAGACAACTTGCAGATCTGCCTCTTCACTCCTTGCAGCCAGATTAAAATCACAATCTGTTTCAAACACCTCTCTGAGGATGGCTAAAATCAGCCTCAGCTCTCCAACTGTTCTCCTCCATCAATATAGATAAATATGACAATTTTGAGCCTATCACTCAACTCATAACTCTTCATTTTCAACTCTAATTTCTCTCCAGGCCCTCCCATTTAATCATATAAAAACAAGAAAGATTTTAACATATTTTCAAGATTATTTCTGTATGTTCCCCTTCACAACTAAAAACTTTTGTCAAATTCTCATCACCTTGACCACTACAACTTCTTTCCCCAGCTCTAATCTCATTCAAATCCCATTCATCCAGAATGCCACCTTAATCAGCATTTTCAGCAAATAGTTTAACCATTTGAATGCATTCTTCTCTAGTTCCTCCTTGTATTTCAGCTTTTGCTCATTCTGAACTCATATTTGAGGTAAACTCCTTGTAAACACTTCCAAACCTCATTTTCCTTCCTCCTGAATTCTCCTTAAAACTTAGCTGCTCCAATTTGTCCTGAGAAATTGGACAATTAGACTACTGCCAAGCACACTGATCAATACAACCCAATTCTTACACTTCCTGCCCATGATCATGTTTTTTACATTCATATTGTAAGTTTTGGGGGGCAAAACCCACTGTCTCCTTTCAGCTGTACATAAGCTCCAAACACATTTCTGCTTACCAAACTAAATGCATGTAGTATTTACACTTGCTTTTCAACAGTTTATGCAAATGCTGCCATGTTTTAGAGGACCATGTGACTACTATACTCATCGTAAACAGAACAACGTGTGAGTAACCAAGACTTGAAGTAAGCACCATTTAAACTATAGTTGAAACCACACCAGCAACATTGCAGTCTGAATGAAGCAGACACAACATGCAACTCCACGGAATTCTTTCCAATGTCACAGGCCAATATACCTTCAACTAAAGTATAGGGGTTACGTCCAGTGAGTTGTGCTGTTGAAACGTGACTATACACACTTCCTTCAGGGTGTCTGTGTTCTACAGTGATTTTCCACCACAGAGTCAATATGATTCTTCAAAAGAGTCATACCCACTCCAGTCTAGTAAAACCATTCTAGCTACCACTAGGGTTAGTATGCATGTTGCCAGTAGATCCAGTAAAACCATGTCAGCAGCAACTATGGTTTTAGTGCACATGTAGCAGGTAGGCTTTCAATCACTGGGCAGTGGCTGAGTCACCCACAGATTTTTACTTCTTTATAGTGCAACAGTAAGACAATATATTGCTCTTTACCACCACCTTGGAGCAGACTACAGACCACCAACATCCTGGAAGGCAGAGTTTGCCAGAACACATGGCTGAGCTCAGGTAGCTGACACATGAGAGAGTGAAGAGGGGAAGAAAAACAAAACAAAGAAAAAAAAAAAAAGAGGTTAGTGGAAGGGAATGGCTTATTAAATTCAACGGCAAGTCATTTAGCATTTTACACTGGTGCCTCAGTTACTAGGTGCTACTGGTCTATCTAAAAATAGCTGCAAATGAAGGGCAGAAACCCAGAAGTGAGAGGGCAGACTTTTCAGTAAGCTAATGCTCTGCCAGTCCCACTTCTATGGTAAGTCTGCACAGCTAGATGACACCATGGTGGATGGTGTGCAACATTCCCACATACAAAAATACTCCTGGAAGGAAGGTTTCCTTATGAGAACAGGTTATTGCAGATATCAATCACCCAGTGAGCATGAAGCTGTGAATAGATTATCAATATGAATTAAGTGAGGATTCACGCGCCCTGAGGTCAGCCACTGACTAGCCAGTCTGCATCCTGCCTGTCCTACTCCTTACGTTTCACAAAAGTGATCATGTTCTGGCTCCTGTCTGAAGATGCTGCCAAAGACTTCCTACCCTTTCAGGGAGAAGACAATTTCAGGCACAGCAAATATGCCTACTGACTACAACACTGCAAACAATCCTGATCTTCCATGAAATCTGCAACTGGACTGACCTCACAGATACAGGGAGCAGTGGGGTTTGTAACCAAGCCCCTTCACAGAGTTTTTATCTCTAGGTAGCCTTCGACTTACTCAGCAAAACTAGTAGGCAGAAATCTACCCAAATGTTTAAATGCTCAAGTAACCACAGCACACTGCAAATATGTGTCTAATTAATCCGATTAATCAAAGTTTCCTGTTCAGTAATATATCACAGAGCTATATAAAATTAAAACTCCATGTCTCAAAGAAAAGCAGTTGGTTCCTTTCTATTTAGTTGGAAGACTTTAACTCTTCTGCCACTCTAAGAAAGCATCTTATCTTGACTTAGGTATCTGTAAATCAGCTTTCTTATCCAAAGGAAGCAATACATTGTCCAATACACCGACACAGTAAAACACCTTCTGACACTGCCACCACTGGTAAGCTATTACTGCATAAAAACTTGGGGCAAAAAAAATATTTCAGACACACGTTTAAGTATGTTAGCAATTCTGTTCACCAGTTCTCCTGGAGATTTCAGAAACTTGAAGTTTCCAGAGAGCTTCAAGGGAGGCAGCTCGTCGAATTGAGAGTGCAACACAACATTGAAAGTTTACAAATTTAGAGTTACATGAAAAAGTCAGCATATCCCCCAGTTACTCCCTCTTCTGCTGCAGTTGTACAGAATAATCACTAGATGGAGCTGCACAGTCACAAATCTGATTTATGGCTGCTATAAGAGTTTGTTGTCTACTACAGTTCTGTTTGGCCTAAAGCTGACACGTTCCAGCGCTTCCTGATAACTCTTCTGAAAGATGGGATGAAATGCTTTCATTTACAAAAGCAAAATGTACACGGAGAAAGTGATGAGATACCGAATGTGGGGGCGGGGGGAAACAACCAAACACCAAAACCAGAAAGCCAACAACACTCAGAGCTTTCAAAATCAAATACATTTTAAAGTGAACTGAAAGATATTTTACCTGCCAAGACAGATCAGATGTCTTGTTTTGTTCTGCAAGTCAGAAAGCACAGCAGACTTAGTGCTTGACATGATTAGCTGCTGAAAAAGAAATACAAGTGCTCTGAGCTCAAGTCTTTGTAAATAAGGTCTAGCACACGCTAAAAATACAGTGATAGGCAAACCCATTTCCCATAAATGTCCTCGCGATACACTTAATCCTGCATTTAAAATGTACTTACAGAAAAATCTTTTGCTGCTAACTGCACTGACACTAGACAGTTATACTAGCATAGGAACAGCTGAAGTGTTATCATCCTAACCTATCAGCACACCATTCATCAAGCTTTTTAGGGATTAACTATGTGCCAAAAGGGAAGTTTTACCTGCCTCTGTTGAGGCCAAGTTGCAACCCACTTCATTCCTGTGTATTCCTGGTCCGTGTGCAACATTGCTCATTTCATCTCCTGTAGAGTGACAAAATGATAGATCTTCACATCTGTCTTGGGTTTTGCAAAATTCATATATTGACAACACTTCACAAGCCTGCCTTCAACGGGCACTGCAGGGTCCTTTCAGCACTATGTAATGAAACAAAAGTGCAGAAAAAGTTTTTTGCCCAATTTCTAAGAAAAGATGGCAGCACAGTCACTGCTGATTTATATATCAATTCCCTCTGTGACAGGCCAGGCCAGGGAGATCCCTAAACAACCAGGCTGTCTGTCAGACAGTGGCAAAGGCACTGCTGCACCTCATCAGGAAGATGCTGCAGGAGGCTGAAACAGCAGCAGAGGAACCAGGCCCCATTTCCCCCTCTTGGGGAGATCTTTCTTGATCCCTTTCACCGGGAAACTCGCAGTTCTTCTGGTCGTATGACTTAAGTCCAACAATCTTACATGCTTTTTGAAAAGAAATCTGCTCGCACCTTGGCTGCAAAAACCATCAGTGCTAGGGGTAGGAGAGAGAACCTTTCCAGGGCAAATTGAAGGCCCGAGACTCTCATGAGGACATTTCTCTGAAGAGTTCCACCGTCGGAGCTCATTACCAGTTCGCACAACATCTGAGTGTGCTTTAAAACAAAGTCTGCAACGAAGGCGTGCCAGAACCAGTCTCCGAGCAGGTGGCGACACAATCCCAGGTGCTGCTTTTGTGACTGCACCCCGTTACGGAGGTCGGCACTGCAGAGGAAGGCGGGCGTGTCCCGCGGGATGCCCATCCTCCCGCCAGCCCAGCCCAGCCCAGCCCAGCATCGCGCACCTCGAGGCGCGGGAGGGTCAAACCCACCACGGTCAAACAACGCGCCGGCGCCAGGG